ATGTTGTGCATGATCTTACTGCATGTCTGTTTGTTTGCATGTTGTACTCCAGATGTGTTTGCATTTTGCATTTGCTTTGGTGTGATTCTCCACAATGAGGATCACCACTCTCACCTTCAGGTCACTGCCTCCTCGGCATACACATTTGTCAAGCTGTTGCTGTCACAGTATGTCCATCTCTGGGTCACTGCCTCTTCGGCATACCATTTGTTCGGGTCACTGCCGTCACGATATGCCCATCTCGGGTCACTACCTCCTCGTCATACCCATCTGTCGGGTCACTGCCTTCACGGTATGCCCATCCTCGGGTCACTGCCTCTTTAGCACATCCATTTATTCGGGTCACTGTCGTCACGACATGCCCATCTTCCGGTCATTGCCTCCTCGGCATATTCATCTAGCATACCATTTGTTCGGGTCACTGCCGTCACGGTATGCCCATCTCGGGTCACTGCCTCCTCGTCATGCCCATCTGTCGGGTCACTGCCTTCACGGTATGTCCATCCTCGGGTCACTGCCTCCTTAGCACATCCATTTGTTCGGGTCACTGTCGTCACGACATGCTCATCTTCCGGTCATTGCCTCCTCGGCATATTCATCTTTTGAGCTGCTGCAGCTACTTTTAAGCCTTTACCGTCACGGCATACTCGCCTTCACCACTTTGGCGCACTTATCATATGCCTTTTGCATATCATGCATGTTTGCATGTGTTCGGTGAGTGCCTCTCAGGTAAGGCGTAATTCCTCTTTATAGGTATCATTTTACTCGACGCAAACTCACTTGTAGTCATTGTCTGCTAGTTGCATGACACCCCGGGTCCCCGGACAGGTGTAATTCCTCTTTATAGGTAACATGTTTTACTGTTACATCTCGTTTGTGTGTGTCATGTTCTGTGTAACATTTTTACATTCATTTGTATGGTGTGTGTTCGCTCTTTTGGGCGTCTATTGTGATTGTCCTGTACTTCGGTCGAGCAGTCACAATGTGGGCTTTCTGCATAACTGTGTGTCTATACCACT